GAAGAGAATTAAAAAAAGACGCGTGTGTATTTACGTGAAGGATCTGTCCTTTATTTCGGCGCGTTACATTATCTTTAAAATTCTTTAAACTGAATGATTTAATATGATTGGAAAGTCTGGCCCACTGAATGTTTTCCATAAGTAACTGTCTTGAATCGTGGGATCACAAAGTCTGCATTTCTCAAACTCAAAGGGTTGATAATGCTAACCACTGGATAGATCGCAATCCAGTGAATAAGTGTTGACCAAAAGAAACTAGGCTTCCACTGAGTGGCGATTTATCAAGTGAATAACAGATATCCTCATGTTACTTTTATTTTCAATCTAAAGGTTTATCTTTCTAATGTCACAGTTTCTGTCTCTAAACAGCCAAATACATAAAATAAAGTTACTTACACTGAACGGTTAGTTTTGCCGAGGCATTCACTTGCCCCAACAAATTGTCCGCCCTGCAGCTATAAACACCGTCGTCTCCAGGTCTAACGTCCTTCACAATCAGAGCACCACTGGACTCTAACACGTGACAACCAACCGGAAGCGATAAATTTAGTTTAGACCACGTGACTTTTGGTCTTGGATTACCATCGACTGTACATTTCAAGATGGCTTTCTGACTTTCATTGACTGTTATTCCAACAGGACCCTGCAGCAGAGATGGAGCCGAGATGGACTGGCCCGGGTCACCTTTGTCACCTTTCATACCCGGCGGGCCTCTAGGTCCCACGGGACCGGGGTCTCCCGGAATTCCANGGGCCTCTAGGTCCCACGGGACCGGGGTCTCCCGGCATTCCAACATCCCCCTTTATACCCATGGGTCCTTGACCTCCTATTGGTCCATGTTTACCGGGAGGTCCGTTTGAGCCGGGACTCCCTTGGGGACCTCGTCTTCCTCGGGTTCCCGTTCTCCCTCGTCTTCCCATGTTCCCTTTTGGTCCTTCACGGCAGAGCGTGTGATCTTTAGCACAGACTTGGTTTTGCAGCAGACCAAGTTCTTGTTTGATCAACGCTTGTACTTCAGAGGCTGTTAGGGTCGATTTTTGTTGCGATTCACCGACGGATGAAGAACGTCTTTTTCTTGAGAGGGTTTCTTGTTCATCTGAAAAATAAGACAATTTTAATTTAAAATCGTTCACTCCAAGCCATTTGGTCTTCAACGGTTTCTGCGATGCAATTATCAGACAAGCTAGTAGAAAAGAGATTTCCGTTTCTATTAGATTGAGTTTCAGCAAGTTAGCATTAGCTTCGTTATATCGTATTCATTTGTGTTGGGAAAAGAAAGGTATATCCGGTTTATTTTTTCCTTAATATCCTGTGTCTCGAAACAGCCGCTAATAGATCTAGAGCCTCGATGTCGATGGTGGGTGAAGACGACGCGCACCACAATGAGCGCAATCCATTCAACCAAAATTTCCGGGCTGAGGTTCGAAAATTTCTTGGTGTCGAATGGATCGCAACGGGTCCGGACGGTCTCGTTCCATTCCACTCGCAAAACGAGTTTGATCACTGTTGCTCGTACTAGAGCTAGATGACGATTTCTACGGTGATTAGAGAGGTTAAGTATGACGTTAACGGCAGACGGCAAACGGCAAAGATAACTTCTGAATTTGAGTTCTTTTCTTCTAATCCGTAAATAAAGCACACAAAAATGGAATAACTTCTCCTACTATTCATTGCAAATACAAATAATTTCACTTTACTATACACACAACTGAAGGGAGACGGCAAAAGTTTCATTTTTGCCGTTTGCCGTAAACGTCATGCTTAACCTCTCTAATGTGTAAGCTGTTTCAAGCGTAGTATTATTTTGAGCGGACCGTTCCCAGATTCCCAGATATTTGCCGTATGAGTTCAAACACCACTTTCGAATGACGAAAAGAATATTCCAAATTCTCTCGGGAAATAAATCGTCTTTAAGAGCCGTTAACAGCCAAAACATACACTTGGCTTGCGAAGCAGCTCCAGAGCTGTTGTAACTGCACGTGGAAGTACGAGTAACACCGATAGATCCGCTGTTAACAATCCATAAAAGCTGCATAATAAGTGTTTTCCTCCATGTTGTACATGGACAATACCAAACAGCGAGGTACTGGGATTGAGAATGGGTCGGAATGGTCAAATGGAACGGTCCATTTCGATCGAACTGGTCCAACCGAGAAAAGTGGTCCACCTCGAAAGGTGGGCCGATTTTTTTCGAAACTTTTCCGGTTGGACCGAACCGATCCATTCAGTTTTAGACCGAAATTTCTGGAAATGTTGGGTGAATGGATTGCGCCCAATAATTCAGGACTGAGATTTTTAAAGTTACATGATATGAAACTCACCTTTGGTCAGTTGCCAATGGCGGCCTGAAACCTTAACTTGCTATCGTTCATAATTTTGTTGAACTTTTTGAAGGATTTCTGTCTCCATGTTATCACAGAATGTCACTGAGTGTGATATCAGTCGATGATGTTCTTGTATTCTGAATTCCACCTGAATCATCGCGATACAACACACAACAGACAACAGCAAGCCTGACCCGGAACACAAGCGGTCCAGTGTTTGTCTTCTGTTCGTCTGCTTCTCTTCGTTGTCTTGTTTTGATTGTTTCATTACTGCAGCTGTAAAACAAACAAACTGATCGAGACATCAAACCTATACCGAGGTTGTTTTTCTTGCTCTTGAGCTGCTTACAGACCAGTTCACTGTGGGTTTTCTTGGTGTAGCTTGGTGTACGTGCTTGAAGGCAATAGACTGCTTTTGTTGTTCAGTAGAAGTTCACTGATAAAAGTGTAACCTGAATCTTGATGTTAGCAGAAATAAGATAAAAATAACTGGATTTGTCTGTGCTTGTAATGGAGATTCAGTATCACAGGAAGTACATTTTATCATTTTATTAAATGACAGAATTGGCTGACATGCTGTCAGCCCTTTCTCTAAATGCTTTAAAGTGCTGTTTCATGCGCTATCTGGAGTGCTTTTAAAGCTCTATAGGTTATATTTTTAGGCTTGCACGTAGTATTTTTATCTGTTCGGTCATTCTAGGGGAACTCGAGTCTCCTCGAATTTATTAGGGCTTTTTTTGTCTACAATAAAATCCCGCGAGTAAGAACCTGCATTTTCCCAAGTCAGGCTAAACAGGCTCTTACATAAATGGTATCTAAGACCCAGTTCAGACGCCAAACGTTTCATGAACCGAACTTAATTCGAATTTGGAGCGACTCCAATTATTAAAAGTACACCCGTTGATTCGACTTAATTCCCCGGACTTATTTAGTTTGAACCATAATCACATCGAAATGTCAGCGATTTTCAGGCAAAGTGCACACTGCTTGTAAAATACGTTATAATAATTTATGCATTAGGTTCGGTACATAAAAAGTTCGACGGCTGAATCAAAACCGTTCCAAAGCCGAAATTCCCGGCTGACCTAGGCGGGAAGAACGGCTCAGCGTTCCAAATTCAACTAGCCTTTCTCAATTGATTCAGACGCCGAACTTTTCATGTACTTAATTCAACATATTAGGTTCGGCTTATGAAAAGTTCGGCGTCTGAATCGAACTGGGCCTAACAAACATTTAGGCCGCTTAGGTTCTTAAATGGGTTCTTATTTTCTTAAGAAAATAATTTTAGTCAAGCTGTCAAATTGAGAGGTTTTCAACCTATTCCTTACATAAAATTAGCATAAAAAGTATTTTATTTATGCAATAACGACTTTTATTGAAAAAAGAAGTGCTTACCACATAAGTGGTCATGTGGAAGTCTTACCTTTGTACATAACATGATTCAGAAAATAAGAACCTGTTTGAAATTTTAGGCTAAACAGGTTCTTGTACAGAGGGGGTCTAACTGGCAAATTTTAGCCTAGCAGCTTCTTAAAAGTTAAATCTTACTCGAGGGTGGCTACTGTATTTCCCAAAAATGGGGCTTATTTCTTTGTCGTTCCGAAAATCATAGCTGACCATTTTCTGGTACTCAAACGACGTTTTAATTAATCCGAAAACAACGAACATTATAAATTTCTCATATCACGATTAAAGGTCCAGGTGACAGTTCTAGCTAATTCTTTTTAGAAAATCGGAGGGATCAAAGGTCTTCCTGTCAGATAACTTACCAGGTGTAGATTTCGGGCTTATAGTGAGTTTTAATTCTTGGGCTGACAGCGTACATGTTTTCTGTGTTTTCTAAAATCTGCCAGGAAAATGTGTTGGAGTTTATAGGTTTTATATGCCATCGGCATTTGTCTATTTTCTAATTGCGAGAAGCGGGAAGGGGTAGAAGTGTATCATTAGTATGAAGCTTATGTCACGTGGTCTCTCTATCGCTGATGTACTCTATACTCATCTGAAAAGGAGTTATTTCGGCTTACGCGCTCATCCTTTGGCTGGTTTTGTCACTTTCTTTGGCAAACCCGTTAATGAGAATATCACAGCTCGAAGAAGGAAAGAGTGAACTGATCTTAAGAATTAGAATGCCTCCGTACAAAGACTAGCCTGCGTAGCAGCCGTTTCCTTTCCTTTTCCAGGCGGAGAGCGAACAAGTGGGCGAGCAAAGGAGCACGCCTGGGGTGAGCAAAGTACGCCTAGGGAGAGGTGGGGAGGGGGTCATCTGCTCCTTATTTTTCCCCCTTATTTTTCGCATCCACTCACAGTTTCGTTCCCTTCGGATGGTTTTTTTGGAAACGCCAGCTACGCAAGTTTTACAAAGACTAAGTCAAACTAGACATTGGAGACCTGAGACCGGAGTAAACGATCTATTTAGGACCGCAAATGGTGTGGCAATGCGAAAGCGAATTACCCTAAAATCAAATTGTTGCTCAGATCTGGATTTTGTGTAAATTGCCAGCTACCATTGACTATTAAGAGCTAATTGTAAACCGGCCAACTTGGTTACTGAAATGAAAACAAAAACAAAAAAAAATTCGGGGCCACTTAAGTAGTATTTTTCACTTTTAATAGAATAGTCTCAGAGGCGCCCCTTAATAGTCCGTTTGAGTTGTCTATTGACTTTGAATTAGTCTAAGGCCGTGTTCACACTTGGTGTCCGAGAACTGGTGCCTAGGCGCCGGCACAAAATAGTTTTGCGTTCAGACACTGGCTTCTCCAAAGACCCAAGTACCATCAAGTGCTCAAGTACAAGGTCGAGACCTTGTACCTGGGCGTGGAAACTGTGCACGAATTCTGGTGTGAGTACTAGTACTTGGATTAAAAGTTGTGTTGACATAACTGCCTAGCGAGAATTGTGCTCGAGCACCGTGCTCGGGCATTAAATGTGAACAGAGCCTGAGCTTTTGAAGAGAGCTTGGAAATGGAGACAATTTAAATAAAAGAAAAGGAGCCGTCATGAAGGTAATGTATAAGTTTTCGAACGATTTTTTTTT